ATCCTCAATTTCAGAATCCAGAGTCAGTCTGGCTCCACCTCTAGTTCCTTTGGGTGGCTTTGAGAAAACAGACAGCTTCTCCAGGTCCCCATCAGTTAAAATGAGGCTTTGTAGTGTCTCCCTTCACTATCCCCATAGGCTAACATGGGGTGGGTGGTGATGAGACACTGGAGAAATTCTAAATACTCCAAGGTCCAACACCCCACTGCTTCACCATTGCAATATTTCTTAGGGCTTGTATTATTGACCTGTCTTTGGCCCTCCCCTCAGCCACCTCCTCCTCCATGGACTAATTTCAAGGTCCCAGGAGGCTGATACTATGATGGAAAAGCTACATGACAGGTACAGCCTCAGACCAACTTTATTTCAGTTGCATATATTCAGCCACATATTGCCTTCAACGCCCCTGACTGAGTTATGCAGTTTCTTGCCACTTCACATCCCAGACCAGGAAACTTCACTGGCCTCTGAGCCACCACAAGGTGAGTTCTTCTGTGGCCCTCCCTCACTCTCATGCTACATGAAAAAGACACTAGCTATTTCTCAGTCAGTCAGATGTCCTCATTCTACAGATGTGAGAATCAAAGCTTCAATCACAAAAATAAAGAGGCCTGCTCAGGATGACATCAAACAGGTAAAACAGCTGAATCTATCACTCACTGAGGCTCCTTCTCCAGGAAACTTTTAAATCCCATCCTTTTGGTGTCAAGTTTGTTTCCAGATCCTGTTAGGAGTTGTACAGGGAGATGCAGTGTTCAATTTCCCTGCTTGTTCCCTAGTGCTTACATAACAGCCTGGCTGGGCCCCCAACACCAGCCTTGGTGATGAAGGAACCATGAGAGCCTCAGAACTGGGGATGAGGGGTATGGTTGCAGCATAACAAAGAAGCCTGGGGCTCAGGTGGGCCCTCAAATGTGATACTCTAGGAGGGTCTCATCAGTGAGCACCTTTGTGATCCTATCATTTCAGACAGACTGGGTAGAGCATAGAGTGCACAGTACAGAGATCTTGCCTACCCTTTTTCCTGTTGATTGAGGACTAGGGAACAGCTACCATTCTGGCCATAATTTCAAAGACTATTTCTTCTAATCACAAAACAAGTATTTGTGATATAAAAAGCTTATTCCAAATGTGGCTCGAGTCACCCTGAATGCCCCTGACCTTGTCCAAATGTGGGTTGCTCCACACCTCATCTAGACAAAGAGAAGAGTAATCCCTTCAGCAGTAACCTTGTGCCTTTTGCTTTATTCCTTTCTCAAAGCACACCAATCCTTCAGTCTAACACAAATTCCAACTTGTCCAAAATATTCTTTCCTAATTACTATTAGTCATAGTGATACCTGTTTGTCAGAAATCCTATTTGTCAACCAGTGCATCCATTCATTTATTTACAAAATGGTACATAAATAAAATGGGCTGGTGTATACTTTTCCTAAAGATGAATCAGACATGAATGTTGTCCTGAAATTGGAATAACTAGGCTAAACAGCTAAATGATTATGCTGGGAGATAAATGCCATGTGGAATAAAATACAAGGTGTATTTTGGAATGTTGAACACACAAATGTCAATTTAAAATGAGTATAGTCAGATCTGGGAGTCAGCTTTATGAGCTGAGTCAAAGACTTTGACCATGTGACACTGGAAGAACATTATACAAACACTATCAGTACAAATCTTTCTTCTCATTGAATTAAGAAAAAGTAGCTGTATATCTATCCTAACAGAAGAAGAACATTATACAGAAAATATAACAGAAATAAGGATGTGGTAGAGGAAATCACAGCTATTGTTATCTGATAACATGGTTAAAATGAAGAAGGGTGTCAGAGGGAAGCTACTGACTGTCCATGACGCACCCACAGCACTCATTCGAATCTGAGCTATTGCAGCCTGTGAGGTAAGACACTGGCTCTACAAGGGAACAGCTATAAAGACTATGAGGTGGGTCTTTGAGTCTTAGAGCAGGTCACAAATAAATACAGGTAGAATTAAAAGATAAGGACAAGGCTTTATGAGACAAATTGGGTTACTCAAAGTAGTAGTACATAGAGGGATCAAGGGCAGGGTCTCAGAAGACAGAATGACTAAATTAAAATCCTGCCTATGGCTCCTGCTTTGTATGCTCATGTTTTTGTTTCTGTCAAGTAGGGCTTAAAAATTTGTACTCAGTATTGTGCTGGCCCCAACCCCCGGGCATGCTGAGCCTTCAAATGAGTCCAGGTGTGGTGCACGCCTATAATCCCAGCACTGGGGAGGCTGAATACAGGAGGATCACTATGAGTCCAAGTTGTGTAGTGAGACCCGGTACCAAGTCTATAAAAAAATGAAGAAAAAAATTTGTACTCATTTCATAGAGATGCTGAGAGAAGTAAATCAGCACACATAGGTAATGAAAGTACTTAGAACAGTACGTGATGCCTAGCCCAGAAGTCTTCCAGTAATTCTTAACTGCATTATCAGAGAATGCTTCAAGGAAATTGTCAGTATCAAGGATACTGGAGATTGTACAGGAAGAGATTTATGGCTTCCATTTATATTGAACTAGTCATTACAATATGGAAGTTGATAGGTGTATCATGCCCCCCACCCTCCCCGCAGGAGATGGTACTAAATAACATTTCTAAAATCTGCATTAACATGTCCATCTGGTTTATTTGTTATGAGTAAGGTCTCTGGTTGTATCCACTTACCTATAGAAGCCTCCAATTTGTTCTTCTTCAGGAGGGGAGGATTACAATCATAGAGTAATAAAATGCAATAGCTTCTTAAACAAATTTCTCTGTTTTTTCAATAGCAATTATCCAGTTTCAAGTTTTCATTTTATCAGAAGCGAATCTTTATAAACTGTGTTTTTATCAAATTTTGCCCAATTTTTCCAATTTAAAAAAATGCTTTCACATAGACTAGGACAAAGTGGACTTTTAAGTAGATTTTTGTATTTTAAAATAACTGAAGGTTTTCCTACATAACTTACTGTTTGGACACATTTTTTTCTTTTTATTGATTGAGTTCAATTAAAATTTAACAATTTTATTTTCTCCTTCCCCTACTGAAAAAGATCTTTTTAACTTGTTTATTAGCTCTGTATTTCTTTTTCTAATCTAGTTTTACCTTTATCATTTTAATTTCTTACTCCTTGATAGTTTTTTCTCATTTCTTGATTTTATTATTTAATATTTTTGTTTTAATACACCATACTTATTTAAAGCTGTGAATGTTTTTCTGGATATTGATTTAAACTAAATTTCTTATGTGGATTAATTTCATCATTTCATTTTTTTCCTCTTCCCCAGCTAGCTTAAGTTTTCATTCTGTTTGATCCATTTTCTAAAAACTTTTATTAAATAATGCATTTTTCTTTAAAGTGTGTTGCAATCAGGTAGTATCATATATATCATTTCTTATTTTGAAGATGGTTGAATTTCTGGTTTTTATATGTGCTTTTATGGCTTTTTAAAATACTTTACTTTGGTAAGATGAAGGTTTCAGGGGCACTTGGAAAAAGAGGTCCTATCATTTGGTCCTTTATATAATTATATTTTTGATAGCTATAATTTTGAATTGAAAATCACTAAAACTCACTTATTTCTATTTCTTCTTGAACTTCTGTGCTTTTGACTTTATATATCAACGCTATACATTTAGGACATTCATTTTCACAACTACCATAACTGTGAACTCTATGATTACAAGCCATTCTTTTATCTCATAGCTTTTATTTTACTTTATATTATTTTATTTTGACTTTTATTTTACCACCGAACTACATCTCCAATTTTAAATTGAATTGATCTTATAATGTTTTCTGTTCCTGTTCTTGAGAATAAAGCAAAGGTATTGAGGTAAATGTAGCAAGAGACATGTACAATGTGATTTAGGGAATAGAAAACTACTCAGTTGGCAAGAGCAAACTTAGCAGAGGGTTGGACATGTAAAAAAAGCTGTGTTTCCGCTTCTCAGAGGAAGAAATTAAACAAGCGAATAAATACATGAAAAAATGCTCCACATCGCTAGCCATTCGTGAAATGCAAATTAAAACTACATTCAGATATCATCTCACCCCAGAAAGAATGGCTATCATAAAGAAATCACCCAACAACAAATGTTGGAGAGGCTGTGGGGAAAAAGGAACCCTTCTCCACTGCTGGTGGGAGTGTAGACT